TGCCTTTTCAGAAAGGCATTTTGACGTCCATCAGTTCGCTCCGTGGACTTTTTAGTTTTGTTCAACATCATTACAAAGCAACATATATTTTGACAAGCAGACTCAATCAGGACTGCCTAGAAAACTTTTTTGGACAACTCAGGGCTCTCGGACGAACTTGTGTCAATCCAACTCCAGTCTCGGCACGACATAGATTCCGGTCATTGCTCTTAACAGGTGGAAGGAATATAGTCAGTATCGAGGGGGCCAATGTACTTGAAGTGAAAGAAGATTACTTCCTTAATGAGGAGGCTGTTCAACATGACGCTGAGACAATTCCGGATTCTCGTGATCCAGAAGGAAACCTGTTGGACATTTCCTACAACTTCCTCCCTACAGAAGCAACTCTTTCAAATGACACCCAAGAAGAGGAGGATGAAACTGATCTGCTCGATTCCGTTGAAGTAGATGTCATTGCCGATGATGACGTGAACAATGAAGCTTTGCAAAAAGTTGCGGACTTCATTGCTCTTAAGCTAAAGAAAAGCCATCCAAAGCTTGGTAGTACGAGTGAGCCTGTTTCTTGCGCTTGGCTGGATAAAAGCTGTAAGGGGGGGCTCACTCAACCCAGTTCTTCTTGGCTAGAAGCGGTGCAGAAACTGGAGAAGGAGTTCAAAGCCTGGCACGGGGAAACTTTCAGAAGAGGGGGGTATTTGATTTCAGATTTGGTGCTCCACATGAAAAAGACTTATCCCGAAATCCCCGAAGATGCAGTGCCTCTTTTCGTTCGCACTATAACTTTTTTCAGAATCCGAGGTCTGAATGCTGAAAAGGAAGCGGACAGAGGACGAAGAAAGCGGGCAAAACTGTGCACCTTGCAGAGCTGAGACGCTTTTGCAAGGGTATTGAGTTCTTTTAAAGCTCCTGTTCTCCGGGCTAATTTTATTTTGGGCGAGTAAAGGGCCACAAATCCGGCAGAATTTTTTTTCGTTAGCTTCTTTGAAATTGTATGCATGTCTGTATGTCGTGAGATGAGATGAGACAAATGTGCATTTTTAATCCATGGGTTCCACAGGTAACTACAGTTTCTCTTCTCAAGCAATTCCCATACCAAATATCCATTTATATCGGGGAATATGTCTGGCAGCGAAGAACACGCGCATATGGAAGTGGGGTCTGTACAATGATACCCCACTCAGAGGCTTATCATGCCGTCACCTCAGCCTTGTCTGATTCTCTATTTTATATATTTCACCAAGAACATGAATTAAGGTTCCATATTATGCCCGAAAAAAAAGAGAACAAGAGCAGTTGATATGAGGAGAGGCGACAGGGGTTCAGCCGCACGCTCCTTCACGCACTTTCACATGCCGCACAGGTATCTGAGACCCCTCCGAGCTGTCAGGCACGTGAGCACTCTGGAGGGCCTTGATTTTTACTTAGAAGCACTATCGTTCATCATAGTGGACTGGAACCATGCACATTACGTACTTCCACTCGCTTTTTTAACCGAACGTCATTTGAACAATTTTAATTTATTGGTGTTTTCCTATTACTCGCAAGCGGATCAGAGCTGTTGAACACACCCACGCCGAGCGAATGGAACCCGTGCAAATGGAGTCGAGAAGCATGCCAATTTTTCGTGGGGCAAATGATGTTCTTTCAATGAAAAGCGCAAGGACACGTCCCTCCAATGTTCCATATAACCCGAGGGCTCAGACTTTCTTGGAGGCTTGTCCACCACTCCCCCCTCCCTTTCCTCGTCTGCTCTTGTAGCCCAGGGACATGGCCGTTCGTCTGGACGTATTCGCGTCTGAAGTCTCATGTTCCATTCGAGCCTGGGGTCTGGAGGGGGAAGGTTCTCTTCGTCCTTCAGTGCTGTGCTGCAGGTCTTCCATTCCAGGTGCAGTGGTCTTTCTCCTCTTTCGTCGGTCTTAATAATAATAATATTATAATATTTATTCCATCACTCTTACAAGACCAATTGGTCCGTTGAGTTCGTCATATCTGAAAACTACAAATATACATACTCTCATAAAGAGGCAGAAGGTGAAAAGAAAAATAGATAAATGAATAAACAAATAGATAAATAAAAGAAAATAAGTAAGAAAGTAAACAGAACTGGACAGAACACTCAGAACATACAGAACTGAATTGGACACACCGAAACTGAACACATGAACATAAGTATAAAATCAAAAGGGGTGAGGTATAAGAGAATGACGAAATGAAGAGAGTCGAAAAAAAAAGTTAGAAAATAATAAATAAATAAATAAATCAGAATAAAAATTAAGGGGGGGGGGGGGAGGTGTGACTGCACCTTTACATAAGAGGAGACTCGAGTAAGAGGACGGTNGCAACGACCTTGACCAAGCAGCCATTGGAGGAACTAGTGTCTCTGGAAAAGGAGGATGTAAAAATATGCCATAAAATATCTTCAAAGCATTTGAATTTGTCGACTACTGAAAAACAAAGAGTGAGACCTGCTTGTGAACTAATGTCACACACGGTCGCAGAAGGTCTCAGGCATTATCTCCCTCAGCACGACAAACTTGCTGATTTTATTGACAGACTGAATTCATATTTTGATTTTTTCAATAGCCGACAGTCAACAGATAATATGCCTGGAAAGTCCGGATATGGATTGAAATTGTCCTAGCAAGATGCAGTTCTTGATGAGATGCTTAACCTGTGTCAAAGCATGCGAGTTCCAGGACGTAAAAGTCTCTTGCCTTTTCAGAAAGGCATTGTGACGTCTATCAGTTCGCTCCGTGGACTTTTTAAGTTTTGTTCAACACCATTACAAGGCAAAATATATTTTGACAAGCAGACTCAATCAAGACTGCCTAGAAAACTTATTCGGACAACTCAGGGCTCTCGGACGAACTTGTATCAATCCAAGTCCAACCTCGGCACGACATAGGTTCCGGTCATTGCTCTTAACAGGTGGAAGGAATATAGTATCGAGGAGACCAATGTACTTGAAGTGAAAGATTATGACTTCCTTAATGAGGGGGGTGTTCAACATGACGCTGAGACAATTCCGGATTCTCGTGATTCAGAAGGAAACCTGTTGGACATTTCCTACAACTTCCTCCCTACAGAAGCAACTCTTTCAAATGACACCCAAGAAGAGGAGGATGAANAAGGAAACCTGTTGGACATTTCCTACAACTTCCTCCCTACAGAAGCAACTCTTTCAAATGACACCCAAGAAGAGGAGGATGAAACTGATCTGCTCGATTCCGTTGAAGCAGATGTCATTGCCGATGATGACGTGAACAATGAAGCTTTGCAAAAGTTGCAGGCTTCATTACTCTTAAGCTAAAGAAAAGCCATCTAGAGCTTGGTAGTACGAGTGAGTCTGTTTCTTGCGCTTGGCTGGATAAAATCTGTAAGTGGGGACTCACTCAACCCAGTTCTTCTTGGCTAGAAGCAGTGCAGAAACTGGAGAAGGAGTTCAAAGCCTGGCACGGGGAAACTTTCAGAAGAGGGGGATATTTGATTTCAGATTTGGTGCTCCACATAAAAAAAAGACTTATCCCGAAATCCCCGAAGATGCAGTGCCTCTTTTCGTTCGCACTAGAACTTTTGTCAGAATCTGAGGTCTGAATGCTGAAAGGAAGCGGACAGAGGACGAAGGAAGCGGGCAAAAAAGTGCATCTTGCAGAGCTGAGACGCTTTTGCAAGAGTATCAAGTTCTTTTAGAGCTCCTGTTATCCAGGCTAATTTTATTCTGGGCGAGTAAAGGGTCACAAATCAGCCAATTTTTCTTCGTTAGCTTCTTTGAATTTGTATGCACGTCTGTATGTCGTGAGATGAGGTGAGACAAATGTGCATTTTTAATTCATGGGTTCCACAGAGAACTACAGTTTCTCTTCTCAAGCGATTCCCTTACCAAATATCCATTTATACAGGGGAATATGTCTGGCAGCGAAGAACACGCGGATATGGAAGTGGGGTCTGTACAATGATACCCCACTCAGAGGCTTATCATGCCGTCACCTCAGCCTTGTCTGATTCTGTATTTTTATATTTCACCAAGAACATGAATTAAGGTTTGAAATTATGCCCAAAAAAAAGAGAACAAGAGCGGTTGATACGAGGAGAGGCGACAGGGGTTCAGCCGCACGCTCCTTCACGCACTTTCACATGCCGCACAGGTATCTGAGACCCCTCCGAGCTGCCAGGCACGTGAGCACTCTGGAGGGCCGGTCTTGGATGAAAGTGGCTGCCACGGCGCACAAACGTTCTTCACAAGGTCATCCTAATACATCTTGGAGTCGAGGCGAGGCGAAGAAAGAAAAGGACACGATCTGTGTTTTGCCTGCGTCGATTGGAGTAGCGATGGGTTTCGCAAGAGCCGTAAGTGAGAAAGAAAAAACAACACGACGAGAACGAGGTTAAGAAAAGAGAAAGAGAGAGAAAAAAAAAAGGTACACATAAGAATTAACCGCGATGATCTTGTGTTATTAATCTCGCTATGGGCATGTTGCAAAGTAAATAAAAATTCTCTTTCCGTTTCGTTCCGTGCAGTTTTCACGAGGTGAACCCGATAACAATAAAAGATGAGAGTGTTTCCATGATTTATGGAATCGTTAAGGGGGCGTAGTACCCTTTGATTTAGGCTGGCTGGAAGAAAACGCTCTCGGATTCCTAAATGCTTTGTCCCAAATCATTGTTATCCACTCATTGATCTGTTTCTAATGATGGTACTTATAAGTACCGCACCAAGTAGATCTCAGTATCTAAAAAACGGCAAGATAGATTCCAAAATCCTAAGGTTATGCCGCGGAGGAGGTCGCTAGTGTTACGGATTTGCAAGCGGATGTAAAAAAATTTGGCTCGTTTTCATGATGTTTGAGCCAAAAGTTGGGGCCATAGAAGTCCATTATAATGGTTTGCTTACACCTCCAAAAAATAGATGGCAGAACTGTCTCATACGAAAAAGGGGCAGCATAAAGAGGGCTCCACCTTCCTCGACCCTTATTGGCAGGTATTCCAGAATTTCTTTAACCTTAGGGGACGTCCCCCGGAGAAAGGTTCAGAGGCCTCCTTTCCACCCCTTTCCCTCTTTAAAAAAAAAAGGGAAGGCCACGCAAAGTAAGTATGAGATATGGACCCATTTGCGTGGATGCCTCACAACTCTTACACAGGTAAGATAACCGCAGAAGATGATTACACTTTCTCATGTCCTTCTTCGGATAATTATCATGCCTATTTGGCTTCATGGTAGACACGAAGGCAAATCTTGGCAGTGAAGAAAATAGCTTATACGAGGGACACCCCGGAAGTTCTAACCAAATGGCATTAAATATCCTGTGATAATAAAAAAATATATTGGAAGTTTTCTTGGGATTCAATGAGATTCAGTGATTTTATGTGAAAATGTTTGCCAACATGGCGACGAATTGCGTAAGTTCAAAAGAGGTCACCCCCAGGACATATGAATGACGCAGAAAGATCTGCAAGTGCTGATTTGGAATGGTTTCTGAAGGCGGCTAACTGTGAAACACTGTTTTGAAGAGATGAAATCATCCTAGCGCGGTCTCGCCGCCACAACACACATTTTGAAACTTTTATATTGAATTTCTGCAGAATTTTTTATAGGAATTAACTCGAACCATTTTTGCCACTCAGTTAGTGGAAAGGGAATCCAACATGAAGAAAATTTCTGCACCCCAAAAATTTTTAATGACAATTTTTTTCAATGCCTCCACTCCAGTCACAAAGGCCTCCTTTGTGACAGCATGATACATTTTGATCTTCAATCATGGCCTCCATTTCAGCCACATTTGTCTCGTCACTTGCGGAAATCGAACGACCTTCACGGACCCGTCCTCCAGACTAAAATGCCCACAACAAAACTTTCGAAACCAGTCATCCACAAATCACATAGAAGGGGCTATACCGCCCAGTTATATTTTCATCGCTGCAAGACTGTTTAGCAGCTAGACGCCTTTGAAACCAAGGCAAACCAGCACTTGCTGATTTCCCTTGACCAGATTGGATGACCTGGGGTGGTGACTTTTTTTGGGCCTTATGCTACGAACATTTTGTTTTCCTCGCACCATTTTGTTATAGAAAAAAAATAATAGAAAAAAATCACTTCATCTTTTTGATTCTCGGAAGAATAATGCCAAAAAATGTCATTAGGTTGAGACTAATAATGTCATTAGGCATGAGATTTTTGCAGTGTTTCTCTTACGTTCTGTTGTCTTCCTCGAATAAATTTCGAAGACCAGTTCCAAACCCTGAAACCAACTTCGATATCAGGACGACAGAACTCAAAAACAGGTCCAAATGACATACGACTGCGCTGAAGTACAAGAAATGAACTGAGAGATAGAGAAAAATAAGATGCTGTTAATATACTCTCTCTTCTGACTTTACGATGGACCTAGAAGCAAATGGCTTGTGGCTGTGAAGAGTATGGAATATACATTCTATTTCTCTCCTAGCTAAAGCTTTGAATAGCTCCAAAATTCACCATAAAACAAGATTTTTGTCTACTCCTGTTGTTTCACGTCCTGTTCCATTCCTTCAATTCACTTCACCTTTGATTGATTTCAGGATCTCTTATTTCACTATTTAATATATATGTATCATTTATGATTGCTTCGATTTTAAAAATATGAATATCGGTACTTTTCCCTATTTTTTTCGCTCAACTCGCCGCGACAGAGTGAATGAGAAATAGCTAATAAAACTATAAAATAAAAAACCTGAGACGTGAGACACAGACCTCGTAGAAGGCGAGGTAACCCTTTTCCTTGGTGTACTTGCCAGGTTCCCCGGGGCCCTGCGCGGGTGATCCGAAGGTGTTCGCCGTGGGGTTCACCAGAGTGTAACTCCTTCCGTACGTGGGGATTCCCACGACCAACTTATCTCGATCCGCACCCTTCTCCAAGTAATATTTCACCGTGTAGTCCTGAAAGATCCACCAAACATGTGACGATTCCATCGGCTCATTTTCTATGCATAACAGAATATCGTGCGCTTGTAAAGAACACAATTTGGTTAAATCAACAACATAATCTAGGCGTTCGTGAAGCAATATTACATACTGTATTTCAACTTCCGGGATTTTTATTCACCGGACAGACATAATTTGAATTCAGCTGGTTTCCTGAACGCGATTCCTGACAGGAAAAGAAGATTGACTGCGAGAAGATAGAGGGAGAAGAAAAGGTTAGGGATGAAAGGTGAGTTCGTTTCTTCATATGTCCCAAAGGCTTATCCACAGACAACACGGGACACCCCGGAGAGGAAACAGTCAGTAGGAAAACCGAGAAATCATTGCGTCATCAAATACATGGAGAGCAAAGGGGGATTAAAATCTGAATCATTCTCTCTTGGTAGAACGAATATGAAATGAATATGAATGAGAACGAAAAGAGGATATTTGGGACAAGCGACCCAGTATTGCGCTAAAACAAGTGAATCGACAGGAGAGATGAAGTGGAGACTGACATTTCAATGAATGGAAAGGATGAACCTTTCCATCATTCTAGGAGTACGAGGGAAAAGATGGATTCATCATTTTCTCCAACACATTCATCAAAATGTTCAAAGCTGTGATGACACGGAGGAGAACATTAATGCATAATTCTTTTACTTAACACTTTTCCTTTGAAGTTCCTACTCCGATAATACCTCAAAGTTCCAAACATTTTCTATTCCTTATCTCTTACTTGACCGGATTTGTTCCTCTTTTTCCAGATTTGGATTTCATAAGGTACTTCCCCCACCCCCAGAATAAAAAAAAAAAATTTATAAATAAAATAATAATAATAAAAATATTGAAGTAGGAAAAAGGAAGAGTAAACAGGAAATGAGGGAAAGGAAAACCGGCTTTGAAGGGGTTTTGACATTTGCAGCCCCCGCCTCCAGGGGTTCTCACATTTTATAGTCCTCACCTCTCGTGAATCACAAAGGTTCTTTCCTAAGAGTAGATGACAGACTGACAGACATGTAATCCATCTTATTCGATTTAACTCCATCCAATAACTTGAATTTGACAGAATCTCACTTCTCTCGATGCATTCTGATCCGAAACCCAAGGAGAGCCTTCGTTACAGTACTTTCAATCGTGCGTCCAGACTTTCGATGAATGAGTATCGACCAGAATTAGTTACAATCTCGCGTGCTCAGTGATTTACGACTTAGGTCACTTATGCAACGCAACTGAGAGCGATAAAGCGTGAATGCGATAGCGTATTGAAGCGGGACCCCGTGCAACGTATGGCAGCTCATGATCCATTCGGGTCTTCAATCACGTTCGCCCCACGCTTCCCATCAACAATCCAGTTCTTTACTGCAACAGTCTGACATGTTGTAGCTCGAACTGCATTCCGCAACCTAGACCACAATCTCAAGGTTTCTATAGGGATCGGCCTTGAGTTTCTCTCGTGATGCCTGATATTTTCTCCAACTTGAATGTGGAATGAGGTTCTATCAA